TGTAGAACCTTCGTGGGAGAGAGATGCTGAGGGACTACACCAAAAAGTAAAAAAGAAGTTTCTTTAGACTCGAACAAAGGAATTTTCGAGTTTAGAGACTTTGATGACTTTGGTTAAAGCTTTGAAATCATCTTCCCTCCAAACATGTTTCTGTTCCCGACAAACTACAAGTAAACATCGCTGCTCTCATGAATTTTGCCATTCATTCAATTATTTCTGTCTTCTTTCAATCATTACAGCGCTCAATGTTGTCCTGCCAAAGAAGGAAACGTACACTGTGCCAATGGTGCACATACACAAGGAGAAAATATCGCCGATCTTGGAGGTTAGCCCTTTCGTTTACAAAAATTGTGTCTGTTGTGGAGAAAATTGGTCATCAATTTCAGGATTACAAGCTTCCTACAATGCATACAAGGAGTACATAAAACTGAAGGGAGCTGAAGAAATGAGGTAGCTGCTGAATACAGTTGAAATAAATGGGAAAGATTTCGATGAGCCCCGTTCTGAGAGGCGCCCTTCCAACCGACTTCTACTCAAAATCGAAGAAGCGGTCGATTGGGTTTTTCGTCTACATGATGGGTTGTGGGGGAAATTGCTATGTATGAGACAGCTGATGGGAAGCAAACCTAGTGGGTCCGAATCGCCCCCATCTCTTGGTCAGAAATAAATTCCAGATTATTGGCATGGAGAGGTACCACCTAACTTAGCACCACTCCCAATGACACAGAAGCTTCTTCCTTTCCCCTTCCAAGAGGTCTTTCGAGAAGAAGCAGTTTAAAGGTCACCCTAGAAAAAATCGTCATTAAATTCAGACTTCCTGGTCTGGAAAAGTTCACTCCAAATCAGATATTCTGGATTAGCTACGGCTACTCATGGTGTGCAAAGGAAACGCAGAGCAGCCTAGTCAAGAGGGTAGGCAGAATAAATTGCAACTACTTGGATTTTTTTAAAACGTTGCTTTTTCAGTTACTGACAAATCCACATTCTCCGAATTCATGCCGAGTAAATCAAGTACTACAAGATATTCCATCGTTTGCCAAAGATTTCCAATGTGCTCTTGGTCAAAAGATGTATCCACCAGCAGAGCAACGTTGTAAGGTGTGGGTAGCGTAAAAATCACCTCCAGACACGAATTTTCACAACATACACAAGAAATCTGAGACTTAAAATGGCCGTAGCAATTGCTAAGGTTGAAAGATGTGCAATCATCGAATAAATGGTTCTTTATATCGTTGTGTATAGGAAACAACTGAGTTTGTAGAAAACATCAGGACTAGTTCTTTATCTTTATCTTTAT